CTCCCCCTCCGCCCCTGCTCTCCTGCCCCCTCCCTTTCTCTTTCCACCCTCCCCCCTCCACCCATCCTCCCAGGCCCGCTTCCTTTCCCCCTGGTACAGCCGTGTCCCGATGGCGTCCATCAAGCGCCTATGGAAGTCATCGTCGGTGCGCACGCGTGCTTGGTCCCTGCGGCTGGATGACCTCGCTGAGGCCGAACCCGGGAGGGAGTTCCTCCCGCACGGCGTGAATGGTGCCCGCCAGTCTGCGCAGGAAGCTCGCGCTTCGGCCGCCGCCGCCTCGGTCGCCATCGAAGCCCGCATCGACCTCGGCAAGAATGTCGTCATCTTTGTGGACCACCGCCCGGCCGGCCCCGACACTGGTGGCCCGCCGGCCGCCGGCGAGGCCCTCTCCCCCCGGCCGCCTCCCCTGCCGCCACCGCCGCCCGTGGCCTTGGGCGTCAGCAGCGCGACCCAGCGCCGGCGTCCTGGCCCCCGGCCCGGCCCGTCGCCCCCCCCGGCCGCGGCTCCCGGGCCCGGCATCATCACGGACACGGAGCGTACCGCGGCGGCGGCCGCCGCCGCCGCCGTGGCCGCCGTCGTCACCGGGACCCTCTCAAAGACCGCCCCCTCCGACGTGGTTGCCGCCTTCCACCAGTACATGCTTGCCATGCGGTCGCTCTTCGTGGCGGCCGAGGATGCGCCGCCGGCCGAGTCCCCCCCGCCGGCCGGGCCATCGATACCGGCCGAGCCGGCGCCCTCCGACCCTGGAGGCCCTTCCGACGCGGCCCCGCCCGCCTCATATGTCCTGGTGTGGAATCTCGGGCTCCTGCATTATTTAGATTTCGGCGGGCGATTCCGCTTTGTCATCCGCCGGCCGGTGTACGGCCCGTCGGTCGACACGCCGGCCCCCACACTGCAGCCCTCGGCCGCCGCGGTGCCCTGCCTGGCGCGAGGCCACTTTTCCGGCGGGGCCGCCTGCTCACTCCTTCTGGCCGCCCACTCGCCATACCTGAGGCGGCTGCCGGCGCGCGAGCTCCAGCGCCTGCTGGCCGCGTCCTCCTGTACTGGTGGCGGATCCGACCCCGGCCATCCGTGGCCACCGGGGCTGGCCGACATCTGCCGGTGCCCCTGCGCCTGCCCGCCGGCCGGACCCGGCGCCCCGGCCTTCCTGCCAGGCCTGGACTCGGCCGGCGGCTCGCTGCCCCCGCTTTCCGGGCCCCTGTTCGGCGCCTGCCCCCTGTGCCAGCCCTTCGAGCGCGAAGTCCAGGCATATGCCCCGTCCCTGGTGGCCGCGGCCACCACTGCCACGCGCATGCCCTCGACTGCCAGCTGTGCGCAGGTGGCCCCCGGCCCGGCACACCGGCGCGATGTCACCACCGACTCCTTGCTGCCGGTCACCCGTCCCTGCGGCCCGAGCCGGGAGCTGTCCATCCTCCGGGCCCCGGCATCGCCGCCTTTGCCGCCTCCGCCGGCCGGGTCGCCAGCACCACCACCGCCCCCGGGCGATCCGGGCCCCATGCTGCCCATCGGGTCTGGCCCTGTGGCCGGCTCCCATGCCACTGCCCTCGATGGTGACCTGCACCCCTGCCTCTTTGGCTGCCCGCGTATGCGCTGTCTCTTTGCCACGCTGCATCAGCCCCGGGGGTCGGGCTCCCCGGTTGCCGTGTGCTCTTGCTTCGATGCGCGGCAGCGCGCGCGCTTGCGCGGCGGCCCGCCGGCTCCGCTGGCCAATGTCGACCCCGATCCTGATGCCGACCCGGTCCCGGAGATCGTCATCTCCCTGCCGGACAGCTACCTGCATGAGCAGCTGGCCCCGGCTCCGGCGCCGGAGGCCACCGACGCCTGGAAGCGCTCTCGCGACCTGGAGGCCTTCCTCTCCGGGCCCGAGACATCCGACCGGCTGCAGCAGCCCACCGCCCCGGCGTCCTATGTCAGCCACGACTGCGTGCTGGTGGTCGGCATCAGCAAAACCCGCCTCATCATAGACGGCCTCGACGCCGATACCGGTCTCCCGGCCCCGCGAGCCAGCTCCCGCGGCCGCCTGGCCATCCGCATTACCTCCATTGTCCTTGCCTTCCTTGCCCTGTGTGCCTTCTACTGGTACAACTTCCTGTAATATAATCTGCGCATGTGCGCATCTGCCCCTTTCGGAGATGATAGCCCGTCTCTCTCTCTCTCTCTCTCTCTCTTTTCCTCGCGCGCGACCCCGGACCGATGGGCAAGGCGCCGTGCATACACGCATGACACCCTTGTGTTGACGTATTTATATGTGTATTTGTACATACATGTGAGTCCCCGTGTAAAGGCACACTTTGGGCGTGCATTGCGGCATTCGCCGGCCGCCTGCCTATCGAGGCACGTAAGGGCAAGGCGGGGGGAGGGGAACCGGAAAACATGCACCGCGTGTGCGGGGGGGGGGGGGGGGGGGGGGGGGGGGTTAGGGCGTGCCCGATGCGGGCGAATGGGAAAGGCGATCTCGGAATGGCCGGAGAGCAGACGTGCGGGGGGGGGGGGGGGGGGGATTCCTTCCCCGGGCAGCCGGAGACTGAGTGGCGGCAAAGGGGAGAGAGAGCCCCGGGGAGAGACACAGCATGAGGGGTCTCAGCTCTGCAAGGAGCGCTCGATCGTGTAATTGACGAGGTCGGTTTGGGCGATCGACCGGGCAGCGGCCTTGCGCGCCAGAAGCGACAGCAGGAAGTCGAAGCCTCCCATGAGCAGGCAGAAGAGGACGATGCCCACATGGAAGCCGGTATTCTGGATCCAGGGGGAGGGAAAGACGGACAGGCAGCGAAGCGTGTGTGTGGAGTGTCAGAAAGCGAGTGCGTTCAATGAAAGTCCGGGCAACGGGCTGTGAGACGCGTACCGTAACACAGGAGTGGGTAAGCGGGTCAAGATGCTGGAAAGCGAACTGGCTGCAATTGGGGTCCTCGCAGATGTTGAATTGCTGTCAATCATTTTCCAATGAGAGTGAGCAACACACGAGCAAGGAGTGGGAGTGGGAGAAGGAGAGAGAGAGAGAGAGAGAAATAGTAAGTAACACGGGAGTAGAGGCAAGGCAGGAAACTGGAGATAAAGGACCGGCTCAGGGGCTCGTTGTACCTCATTGTACGTTTGCCCGCCAAAGCAGGTGTCCGCCTTGCGGCACGCAGATGTCGAGAGCCACTGTCGCGAGTTCGGCCCAGTGCGAGATTGCATGCCAACGCGGAAGTTGGTCCAATCAAAGGCCACCCGCAGGTTGGCCAACGACAAGCTGCCGAAGATGGCGATCTTCGGGCTCACTTGATATCCGCGGTGGTTGACCATCTGATGGACGGCCGTGTTCTTGATGCAAGTCCTAGGCGTCCACACAATGGAAATGGGGATGTCAGGTGCCAGAAGACGGTCAGGTACGAGCACCCAGACAGGAGACGGGGGCGAAGCATGGCAATGGACAGCACGTACTCGGAGCTGCTCCCCAAACGCAGCGTCTCCAAGGGCAGGTAGATGAAGCGACTGTTGGATGTCGAGCCGGAGGCCAGACGGAAGCGGATCCACGGCAATTCATATCTGGGGTTGACGGTGCATAGAACGCTCGTGGAAAAGCCGGTGGGCGGGAAGTTACACGTGGCGCCGATCCAGGCCATGAGCTTTGTCATTTGCGGAGGCACGGGTCCCCAGCAGGGCGAGAGGAGGCCCCACAGAGGCACAGCGGCCCCCGGCGCGAAAGCCACAATTGAAGACCAAGGGAGTCAGTGGACATCGCGCAACAGGGGAAACGTCACAAGGGCCGAAGGAAAAGGCGAGGGGTGCACGCACCGACTTGAAGGCGTCAGGGGGCAGGGCCAGGCAGGGCTCCTGTAGCTCGACCGTGGCCACCATGTGGTCTGAGACATTGGTGAACAGCCGAATGCCATCGGAGATGAGCGGAGGCTCGGCATGCTCTGGCAGGGAATTGCACCCGACAGACAGGTCATACAAAGTCAGATAGTAATCCCGGTAAGAGGAGCACCCTGGCAGAGTGTTTCGATCAGACCAAGCGAAGGACCGCTCCGAAAAGAAGAGGTGCTCGGGGACCGGCGGCGAGGGATCCACTGGAAGAGAAACATCGTTCCATGGGTAGTTGGGCCCAATTGGAATGAGCTCATGCGGGGTGGAGCCGGAGTCGGAGCCGGAGCCGGGAGTGGAGCCGGAGCCGGGAGTGGAGCCGGAGCCGGGGGTGGAGCCGGAGCCGGGAGTTGAGCCAGAGCCGGAGCCAGAGCCAGGAGCAGAGCTAGAGCCAGAGCCAGATCCAGGAGCAGAGCCGGAGCCAGGAGCAGAGCCGGAGCCAGGAGCAGAGCCGGAGCCAGGAGCAGAGCCGGAGCCAGAGCCAGGAGCAGAGCCAGAGCCAGGAGCAGAGCCAGAGCCAGGAGCAGAGCCGGAGCCAGGGGTAGGCTCCGAGTCGGAGGGTGAAGAAGCACCGGCTGAAGCAGCATCGGCACCAGAAGAACGAGCCAAAAAAGAGGATGCCAGGCCCTCTGCCGGGGGAAGATCGCCAGGGCCGGAGGCAGGAGAGCCAGCTGACGACGAGGCCGGCTGCGAGTCAGATGCCGAAGAGCCGGAAGTGGGAGCACCTGACCCGGACCCCACTGGTGTTGAGCCAGAGCCAGAATCGCCCGGACTTGGGTTGGAGCCTGCAGGGGTTGATCCAGAATCAGCAGGAGATGATCCGGAGCCCGAGGCACTGGAGCCGGAGCCCGGGGGGACCGAGCCGGAGCCGGAGCCGGGGTCGGAACCCGGGGGGGTCGAACCGGAACCGGAGCTCGAAGGGGCCGAGCTGGAGCCGGAGCCCGAAGGGGCCGAGCTGGGGCCGGAGCCGGAACCGGAGCTCGAAGGGGCCGAGCTGGAGCCGGAGCCCGAGGGAGTCGAGCTGGAGCCGGAGCCCGAGGGAGTCGAGCCGGAACTGGAGTCCTCCGATCCGGAGGGATGATCAAACACAAGGAAATGCACATAGCTGGGGCACGAGGGGGGGAGCAAATCCAACAGAATGATGCGCCGAGCCGAGTCACCTGGGAGCAGGAAACGCGATCCGGCGTACGGCCCAGCGGCCGCGCGGTCCGGTGGGTAGGGATTCGGCGGGGACTCCGAGCCTGAGGAACCTGAAGAGCCGGAGGGACTTGAAGAGGCCGACTGGCTGGATGTGCTGGCTGTGGCACAAGCAGACCCTTCGGACTCGCGCGACAAGCCGCCCATCCTGGGACTCTCGCCACCAGTGCTGCCACCGCCGGTGCTGTTGCTGCCGCTGATGTCACTGCTGCCACTTTCCTCCACTGGCGGAGGCGGAACCCAGGGAAGGTCCAAAAGGTGTGAAGCCACGAAGTTGGCCGTCGAGCGGGCCACTTTGTCATGCAGCGCGAGAAAAGAAGGAGGGTCACAATGTTCAGAGGGGGAAAGGACGGTGAATATAGGGCGAGGGAAAGGGAAAAGGAGAAAGAGAGAGGGAGGGGGGAGGGAGAGGGAGAGGGAGAGGGAGAGGGAGAGGGAGAAAAAAAGAAAGAGAGAGAGAGAGAGAAAAAAGATAGATGGAGAGAGGGAGCAGACGCACCCGGATAAGCCAGACCAAGGCGACCGCCGGAACCAGCCCAGTACCAGGTGCGAGCTGTGTCATTGTAAAGGGTCACGAAGCCAAGAGGATCGGGATCGATGGAGGGAGTGGGCTCGATGGACACGCCGTTCGAGACAAAGGTGAACTACATGAGCAGGGGGACAGTGTCCTTTGGGTAAGTAGCATGACCTGCGGAGGCAGTAGCGGGACATGAAGAAGGCGGAGAGAAGGACGGGGGCGAGGGGAGTAGAGGACAGGGGCCAAAGGGGCGAAGGGGGCAGGGTCGGCCAATGGCGTCGGCGGACCTTGGACTCGGGGACCAAGTTGACGACCACCTGATCGGTACACACACAGCAGGGGACCTGTTCGAGGCTGTCTGGCAGCGTGGTGTTCGGGAAGAGACAGGACCGCGAGAGAGAGGGCGGGAGGTTGGTCTTGGACAGCAGGAGTGACTCATCCGAAGAGGTGGAGTCCATTTGTGGCGGGCGGGCGCTGCTCAGGGGCAGGCCAATCGCCTCCGGCTGCGCTGTCCCACCCGGTAGCACACGCCGGATGGCACTCTCGACCGCCCTGCCAAAAGTGTACACCATGCCAGAGAAAGGAACCCAAGAGCTCGGGTGCCGCGAGGGGGTAAGATCCCGAAGGAGAACCTGTCCCGGGCCAAGAGCCATGTCAAGAAGCCCCGTCTCTGGAGGAGACACAGGATCTGACCCGGCGCCAGATGACGCGGGGCTGGATTCGGAGTGAGAGGCTGCCGGTTCCGAGCCCGCTGGAGCTGATGATGCTGACCCAGCCGGAGCCGATGCACTTGAGGCGGCAGCACTTGAAGAGGCATCACCAGGCGCACTACCCGGAGCGCTGCCCGGAGTGCTGCCCGACGCGCTGCCCGAAACGCTGCTCGAAGCGCTGCTCGAAGCGCTGCCCGAAGTGCTGCCCGAAGTGCTTCCCGAAACGCTGCCCGGAGTGCTGCCCGGCGCACTGCCTGAGGAGCTGCTTGAGGGAGTGCTCCCCGGGTCACTGCCTGAGGCACCGCTCGAGGAGTCCCCCGGAAGCGGGGGGGGAGGCAGATAGGTGCAATGGTTGCTGTGCAACAGGCCTAGATCGGACATCCGAGTGTCCAGCAGGACACGCCCATTGAAGGCCCCGCTGCCAAGGAGCAGGTGTACCGAGGGTGATGGGCCGGACACAAAAGTCCGGAAGCCATCCAATCGCCCGGCAATCGGCCGCATGTCTACCCGCAACGAGGTGACGCGTTTGAGGGGGGGCGCATCTGGCGTGGGGGGATCCGGCGTCGAGGGGGGCACAACCGGGGGACAGACGGGGTTTGCCGCTTCAGCGCGTAGGAGCACGGCCACAAGGGCGGTCAGCAGGAGGGCCAGCAGGGCGGCCGAGGGGCGCCGCGGGTGCATGAGCCGCCCATCCATGGCGGCAATTTGCAGGGGGGGGAGAGAGAGGGGGGAGAGAGAAGAGGGCCGAGGAGGAGCGAAGTGGCGAGGGGGGCGGGCGAAAGGGGGAGAGGAGGAAGGGGGGGGGCGGGGGAAGTCTTGGCTGGCGGCCTCCCTCAGGGCACTAAGGCTGGGGGATCTTGAGATGCCGGGCGGCCCGTAAAAGCGGGGGCCCTTCTGATCCCCCTCCCCCCCCCCCTCTTCTCTTATTTTTTTCTGTCCTTTGTGTCGGTTTTTTGGTCCTTGCTCTCATTCCATGGGGGGAGAGGAGTGGGGCAGAGGGGGGGGGGGGCCGGGCCCAGGGCAATCACATGTGCCAGCGGAGGGCCCATTGGACCCCCTGCGACCCCGGGGGTCGGGCGGACGAGTTCCGATGAGCCCCGGACCCCACCCTCTGCCACATATTAGTTCCAGCTATCCAGCTGGCCGGAGTCGTCTTCGCGGGCCTGTTCGGTCGACATGGCCCGTCCCCTGGTCGTCATGCGTGATGTGTTGGTCTGGCCGCCGCATCTGAATGGGGGGGGGGGGGGCGGAGCACGGTGAAAAGCCCCCCTCCGAGGCGGTGCACGCAACAGCCTCCTTGCAGATCCCTCCTCCCTGTTCCTGCTCCCGCCGCCCTCCTCCTCCTCCTCCTCCTCCTCCTCCTCGTTCTCTCCGCCCAAAACCCAGGCTCCGCCATGGTTCGTCGCTCTTGCTCGCGCCCTCGCCCCTGTCGTGCTTCTCGCCCACGCCCTGTGCCTTGCCTCTTTCGCTGCTGACACCGTGCCCAGTCCGACGAAATTAGTGTCCAGCACCTGGGCAGCATGGTGCTCACGCGGTTCCCCTTCGTGGAGTTCCGTCCTGACCAGAGTGGCACCCTGCCGACCTACGAGTACACGATCGCCAACACCGGGGACATGTCCTTCCGCCTGACCATGACCTTTGAGGGGGAGAACGTGGCCCTTGAGCCGCTGAATGCCACCAAGGCCCAGTTGAATGGGCCGCTGGAGGTGTCGGTCACTGTGGGCCCGAAGGACCCGGTGTTTGATTTTGTCCGCGTGGCGGCCGCCGACAAGTCCGGCGCTGGGGCATTCAGCTTTGGCGCCGGCATCCGCGCGGTCGTCCTGGACACCCAGCGCCGATCCTCCGAGTCTGATGGAGTCATCCTCCACACCTCGGCCACCTTCAATGAGGCCTCCCCCGAGACCGGCAAGGAGCACCTCCATGTCACGGCCGAGTGCGAGAACACCCGCTCGGATCCGATCGAGGTGCATGTGGACTTGCTGGTGCGTGGCCGCATGCCCGATTGGCCTCCCCTCCCTTTGCTCCCGCTGCACTGCCTCTCCCCGCCTCGCCCTCCCCGTCCCCACCGGCCGGGAACTGCCTTGCCATACTGACCCCCGCGTGCCGGTTCACAGCCCAAGTCCGGCAGCATTATCTCCACCTACCCCTCGGAACTGCCCTTCATCCGGGTCATTCCCCCGGGGCAGCGTGTCAACCTGGGCACCGTCCTGGCCGAGGACGCACTGGAGTCCGTGTGGCATTATGTCCCGTTGGTGGATCAGGAGGAGGGGGCGCATCCGCCAGCTCAGCCAGCCACTGGTGCCGCCAGTGTCCCTGCTGTGGCTGCCGCGGAAGACGCCGGTGTCTCGGCACCCGCCCCGGTGTCCGTGCCGGATTCCGCCCTGCCAGCTGATGCGCTGGCCGCGCTGGCCGCCCTGAGCCTGGCACCCACCTCCAAGGCCACTGCTGCCCCGCCCCGGCCGCGTACTGCGGCTCCGACGGATGTGTCGCCTGCCCCCGCTGCTGCGGCTCCTGCCGATGTAGCTCCTGCCACTACTGCCGATTCAGCCCCCGCCCCCGCCCCTGCTCCTGCCGCTCCTGCCGCTCCTGCCGATGCTGCTCCTGCCACTGCTGCTCCTGCCGATGCTGCTCCTGCCGATGCTGCTCCTGTCGCCCCTGTCGCCCCGGCCTCTCCCATCGACGACACTCCTCCCCCCGCAACTGAGGCCCCGAGTCCTGCCGCCGCCCCGGCTCCTGTGACTCCAGCGGTTGACACTGAGAAGCCCGCTCCTCCGGCATCCAACCCCGCTTCCCCCACCTCGCCCACCTCTCCGCGGGTGAATGTCCAGGAGTCAGAGCTCCAGGGTATGTGCTCCCGCTTCGTGTCCTCGCCGGGTCGCTCGTCGCACCACTGACCTCTTTTCCTTTCTCCTTCTTTGGTATCTCCCCCCCCCTCCCGGTTGAAAAAGATGTTCGCCTGCGCCAGACCATTACCTCCAGCCCTGGCTCGACCAACGTCACCTTCGAGGCGGTCAATGGCCGCGCGCGCCCGGTGGAGGTGACTCTCGACGTGGATGTCGACTCCGGGAACATTGAGGATGTCGTGGACTTCGGCATCTACACCGAGCGCCCCTTCAAGGCGCAGATCCAGCCCGGCGAAACGGGCCTCATCGCCTCGGTCCATGTGCGCGCGGCCATCGGCATCAACTGGGGCTTCCGTGAGATCGCCCCGTCCTCCGGGCCCGCCTCCCCGGCCGAGTGAGCACGCCCCGATCGGCCCAACTGCCAATGCACGCAACACAACAAATAAAGCCCCCCTCTCCCGAGAACAGCGCCGGCCCAGCGCTGAGAGAGATGCGCACGTCGACCTCTTTCTTCTGTCCAGGGGGCGCGTGCCCCGGTTGTCCTCGGGTTTCGACTATTCCAGGGCCTGGTACCGCCCAGCACCCAATCCGCGACGAGGGAGTGTGCGGGAAAGGGGGGCCAGTGGCAAGGCGCTTTTAATGAGCTGCGCCGGCCAAGAGCGTGAGAGCGTGAGAGCGTGAGAGGGCAAGGGAGAGAAGGGAAGAGAACATCCCTCCGGAGGATGAGCTAGATTGAGACCGGGACTTTTTGGGGAACTGTCACCGCTCTCCCGTGAAGGAGCGTGGCAGCCAATTTTCCTGTCACCCACTTTCCGCACTACTCCTCCCCCCCCCCCCCCGAAATCCCTTCTTTTCCCTCGCCCTCATCATTCCCCACATCCTGCCACGCCATGTCGGTCACCACCTCTGATGCAGACTTCCAGGCCGACCCACGGATTGCCAACCTGGCGGCCTTCCTCGCAATCCGCACTGTCTCTGGCGAGGGTGCGCTCGCAGCATGCCTTCTCCCTCTCTCTCTTCGGTTTCTGTTCTCATTCACCGCACCAGCCTCTCACCAATCTTTTCCCTCTGCCTCGTAACCTATCGCGATCTCCCCTCCCGCTGAAGGCCCTGCTGGCTCGTATGCCGAGGCGGTGGCCTTCCTCTCGGGCATCTGTGCCGAGCTGGGTCTCACGACATCCGTATCTGAGGTGTGTGTGTGTGTGTGTGTGTGTGTGTGTATGCTTCGAGATTGACGCCAGCTGCACTTGCGGCAGCCAACGCTGACCCTCCCATGCATGCCAGCCTGTTGCCAATAAGCCGATTTTGATTGCCCGTTGGCCGGGAACCGACCCCAACCTCCGGGCAATCCTCCTCAACAGTCACTATGACGTGGTGCCTGCCTTCCCGGAAAAGTGGACCGAGACCGGGGGCGATCCCTTTCGGCCGCTCATCAAGGAAGGGCGCCTGTATGGCCGCGGTGCGCAGGACATGAAGTCCGTGTGCATTCAGTATCTCGAGGCCATTCGAGCCATTCAGCGGGCCCGCAAATCGCAGGTGCGCATGCCTTCATTCGAATATGCCCGGGATCCAGGACCTTCAATGTCATTGTTCTCCCCGTCGTCCTCGCACACACGCCCCCACGTTCACGGATTTTCACACACGCACACACACACACACACACGCACGCACACACACACACATGCATCCATACATCCATGCAACGCTCCCGGTCGACCACCACGCCAACTGGCTGCGTGGGGGGGGGCCATTCTGGTGCTTGTGCGCCCTACTGCTAGGTGTCTCCCTTTCCCCGGGACGTGGTCTTGACTTTCGTGCCGGACGAGGAGGTCGGCGGTGCCGAGGGCATGGGAGCCTTTATGCAGACGCCGGACTTCCGGGCCCTGCGCCTGGCCATGGCGCTAGATGAGGGCCTGGCCTCGGAAACCAACAGCTTCGATGTGTTCTATGGCGAGCGGGCGGTATGGTGGCTGACAGTGCGCGCGCGCGACGGCCCCACCGGCCATGGCAGCCGGTTCGTCAACAACACCGCCACGGAGCGCCTGATCAACTTCATCAACAACGCCTTTGCCTTCCGGGCCCAGCAGGAAGTGCGCTTTTGCCCTTCGCGTCCTCCTCTCTTTTTCCGCCCCCCCCCCTCCCCCTCCTGTTGTCGCCCCATGCAGGGTGCTGCCTCCTCCCCTCCCCCCCCCCGCCAACACCTGCCTTATTTCGCTTTTTCTGACACCAGGCCCCCTCTTGGACGCCGGGACACAGGAGAAGTTCCATGCCGGCGGTTGCAAACACTCAGTGGCCGCCGCTCTGGGTGATGTCCTGACCCTCAACCTGACCATGCTCAAGTCCGGTGTTCCCGGGCCGGCGCCAATGGGTGCGTATATTTTCGACACGATCCGGGCCCCCTTCTCCCGGGCCCACCTGCTGCCGGGATCTCATGTTGGCTGTCGCGCTTTCTTCTCGGTTCCCCTCGCCTGACCCGCGCCCATGGTCCCCAGGTGGCTACGCCCTCAATGTCATCCCCATGGAGGCCGAAGCCGGCTTTGATGTGCGCATCCCCCCGGCCATCCCCATGGCCGAGGTCGAGGCACTGCTCCAGCGCTGGACCGAGATGGAGCGCTACGCCGAGCGAGCCGACTCGCCGACTTTCGAATTCAACTTCCACGTCAAAACCCCGGAGCACTATGTGAGCCAGGCCTCCGAGGACAATGTCTGGTGGCGAACCTTGCGCCAGAGCGTCGAGGTGGACCATGGGGTGCCCTTGGCGCCGGCGGTCTTCCCGGCGGCCACCGATGGCCGGTACCTCCGGTCGCTGGGTCTGGACGTTTTCGGCTTCTCGCCCATTCGCAACACCCCGGTCCGGCTGCACGACCACAATGAGTTTGTCTTCTGCCAGGGGTTCCTCGAGGGAGTAGCCTGCTATGAGGGGGTGATTGCTGCCCTGGCACCGGTTCCGGCCAATGAGCGCGACACTCACCAGGACAATGCCCCCTCGACTGCCTGACGGTGTGAGCAGACGGGGACCCCCTCAACGGGCCTGGGGCAAGCTGATGCACATACCATTCCCAATGTGATCGCCGGCGTTAAGTCTTCTTTCTTCTCCTCTTCTTCTTCTTCCCTTTCCCGGTCCACACAGGGGAGCAGCTGCACTTGGTGTCGAGAATCTATTTGTGAGAGGGGGTGACATGCACACAGGGGGAGAGAGGAGGAGATGGGAAAGGAGGAGATGGGCTGCGGGCACGGCGCTCGCGAGGGAGGAAGGAAGCCGGGGAGGGGATGTCCCCAGCCCGAGAGACGAGCGCCGACACGCGGCCTGCCGGCCCCCCCCCCCCTGCCCTTGTGGAGAAGAGCCAACAGAGGAGAGGGAGGCGCGGAATCCGGCCTCCAGGAGAGATCGGTCGCCAGGTTGGCATGTGCATTTAGGAGGCCTCAGACACGTCGGCATCCCCGGCACCAGTCTCGCCGTTGGAGTTGGTGATCAGCTGGTTCAGCTCAAGCTTCACGCGCATGGCCTTCTCCCGGAGGACCTTGATGGATTCCTGGACGAGGACAGCCGAGGGCAGCATACCGACAGACTCCACCGAGACTGCGGGGAGGAGTGCATTGGTGTGCACAACCACCCGGCCCCCAATGGAAGAGAGGGCGACAAGGCCAGAGAACCGTGACGGAGTCAGCGATGGCCGGGATTCCGGGCGAAATGAAAAGGACATCATCGAAAGCAAAGACGGATCAAAGGAATGGAGGGCGGGAGGCCGAAAGGCCGGTGACTGGCGCACAAATAAAGTGGTCCCGCACGCGCGAGATGCGAACCGAGTCCGCGAACTCCGGGTGACGCATGACCTCGCGGCTCATGGAGTCATTGCGGGCGTTGGCCACGCTGACGGTCTTGGTGCCGGTCTTGGAGTCCGTGCTCACGGTCATGACACCGGGCGAGAAACAGTCAACGAACTTGTCAACCAACTCCGAGGGGATGGGCTTGAGGATGTCGATCTGCGGCATGATGCGGTAGAATGCCGTCGACACGGGGGACCACTTGGCGTGGATCTTGCCGATGCCCTTGACGCAGTGCATGTCGATGTCCAGCTCCTGGCCCGGGCGCAGGCGAATAATCTCGATGGCATCGTGCACCGGGCGGATTGGATCCTCGGCGAAGCGCTCGGCCTGTGGTCCCTGGGGCACCCACTTGATGTCACGAGAGAAAGCTGGTGCGTTCGACAGCGGAAGAGTGGGCGAGGGCAAATGGCGGTCAGGAGTGATCCGAAATAGAGCAGGGAGTACAAGGGGAGGGGGAGGGGGAGAGGGGGAGGGAGAGCGGACAGCGAAAGGACAGCAGACATCAGGCGCACCGGTGGAGTTGATGTAGCGGACATTCGGATCGCTGGCGCCGGCCGGAGCGCTGGGATTGTGCGTGCACTTGACATTCAGCGACAGGACAATGGTATTGATGTCGGTGGCCTCGTCCTCGGCGAACTTGAAGTCAAACTGGCGCGGATCGGCGTAGATGGGAATCAGCCCCAGGCGGTGGCAGAGGAGCTCGTCATGAAGGACACTGGTGTTGTTCTTGACATAGACATTCTCAATGGCCATTGTCGGGACCTCGGCCAGCAGAATGCGCCGGATGGCATTGGCCAGGGCCGCGTCAATGCCCACAAAGTCGAACTCAATGTGGTCGTCGGTCAGCTTGATCACCTGGACCTTGAAAGTCTGCATACGGTGACCGCGGGCGGGCCGGCCGGCCGGCGAGAAGCGGCCGCAGGAGGGAGGAGTGTAAGGAGGAGAGAAGGGGAAAGAGAGAGAGAGAGAAGGGTGGGGAGATGGATGAAAGGGCGTAAACATGTGCGCAGTTGCCGAGCCAGCACACGGACCTTCTGGAACTTCTCGATGGAGAAGACATCTTCATGCTCATAGGCGCCAACCGGGGGGAAGCTGATGGAGCTCGGCTGTGCACATTCGTACCCGAGGGGAAGGAGGGGGGGGGGGGGGAGAACATAGCGGTTAGACAAAAGCGCCCCATCGGCGGGGGTAGGCGCATTGAGGGGAGCATGGCCGTCGGCCTGTCTGCACAAAAGAAGGACGCACATGCTCGATCCGGTTGGACTTGAGCTCGACAAAGCGCTTCTTGCGATCGACCGCGGAGGACATGGCGCTCAGGGGATGAGACAGGAAGGAGGGGAAGCAGGCGAAAGGGAGGGGAAGAGGGCGACTCGCGGGCGAGACACAAAGGGAGGAGATGCAATGCGGAGGAGGCGAGCAGGGAGGGGAGGAGAGGCGGAGAAAGATATGGGGCGCGCAGCGGCGGGGGAGGGGAGGCAGTAACCTCGCGCGGCGCCCAAGCCCCGACCCGGCCACTGACCCGGCTCTCATCATCCCGCACATCACCCCTCGGTGAGGCCACAGTCTGGGCCACCATCCACTCGGAAGGACGCCGCCCAGCCCTTGTGCCCTGCCTTGCCCGCCCGCCCGCCCGCCCACCCACCCGGCGGCCTCCCCGGCATGCGCGTGCGCTCAACACCGCCGTCTGCAACACGGGCGGCCGAGACGCCGAAGACGGGAAAGCGCGCGTGCAGAGGCAAGGAGAGCGACCAACCCCAGCCACATGGACAGCGATGGAGCACCTGCCACCGAAGCAGGTGTCCGGAGATCAGGCAGGTGCCAGTGGGGATGTATTGGCTGTCTATGGGTTGGCATATGGCGTTGGCTCGCAGCGGGGCCGGGCGGCCCTGGCGCACCGTCCAAAGCGGCTATCGCTGCTACCAGGGCGCTATCGCGGCCCCGGAAGCGAATGGGCTAACCGCAGGCTCGCCCTGTTTGCGCTGGCCCCCCGCCGTCTGCCGAGCTTCGGCTATGGGCGCTCACAGCGCGCCATGTCTTCCTCTGGCGGCCGGCCTGAGCCTCGCTGAGTGTATGAAAGTGTGCGTGCGTGTGCGTGCGTGTGCGTGCGTGTGCGTGCGTGTGCGTGCGTGTGCGTGCGTGTGCGTGTCTGTTTTGAACCGGCGGTCGCGTTACTCGGGGCTGGCCGAGCCGCCGCGGGACAGACGAAGCTGCTCGGCCCGGCTGGGGATCTTGTCCCGAAGGGCACCGGCCGCCTCGCCGCGGGCACGCTCCTCCCGGTCCAGAAGGGCCCACTGGGCCGCGGTGATGGCCTGGGAGTGGTCGATCGGGAGGCCCTCAAAGCCGGGGGCCGTGTCAACACGAGTCCCTCCGCGAGCGGCCAAATCCTCCCACACCACGTCAGCCGTGGCATAGGCATCGGCCATGGTCGAGGCAATGACCCCCACCGGCCCTGTCTTGGCCCAGCCGGCACAATAGACCGGGGCCAGGGCCGTGGAGCTGGAGCCCGAAGAATCGGCCGGCGGCTGCGGCTCGCCAGCCGGCAGAACACGCCCCTGGCCATCATGGGCCAGGCGATTGGCACCGGCAGCCGTGTCGATCGGCGCCTCATCGTCCAGGGCCCCCACGCGGAAGCCCACCGACGTCAAGACCACCGAAGCCGGCAGGAGGATTTGGGTCTCGAGCCCGGTGCCGGTGTTGCGCGGCGTGGCACGGCCGGTGGCCGGGTCCACCGTGCTCAAGCCCAGCCGCAGGCCAGCCACTTGGTAGTAGGAGGCCGGGCAGCCGTCGGCACTCGGGCCCTCCGGTTCGACAGGAGTGGCCACGCCTTGGGCCAGGATGGCTGTCGGGGCGGCGAAAAACCGGAAGGTCAGCGTGCGCCCGGCACGGGCGTACACATTTGGCTCCTCGGCCGGGTCGACCGCCGCCTCGACCGCCTGGCGCAGGAGTGCCAGCAGGCGGACGCGCGGCCGGGCCGGCGCCGGGGCCGCATCCAGCGCCTGCAAAACCAGCGCCTTCTCCGGCACCACAAGGACCACCTCCTCCCCGGGGGGATCCGCCGCGTCGAGGGGGAACTTTTCGGGATCCGGCGCCTGCCCGGCGTGGCGGGCAATGGCCGCGCCCACCAGCTCACGCAGTTCGCTGATGGTGAAGCTAACCTCCGCGGGGCCACGCCGGCCAATGACCTCCACATGGCGGATGCGTCGGTCTCCCGGCGCTGCGGCATGGCGCCGAAGCACCTCCAGCACCCCGGCACGGGGGACATCCAACTTCTCGAAGGCCCGATCCCCGCGCAGCAGAGCCCGTGCCACATCGAGGGCCACATTGCCATTGCCCACAACCAGGGCCCGGGCCCCGGCTCCCGCGGGCAACTCGGCCACGCGAACTCCGGTCAGCCCGGGCGCCAGCTCGGACGCCGAAACCGGCAGCCAGGCCGCCGCCGGGGCTGCCAGCGCCGGGACCGGACACTCGGTGTGGTCTGTCTGGCCATTGTACCAACAGACGAAATCGCGCGCGGGCAGGAGATTGACCAGCATGCGCTCGAGGGCGGCGCCATGGGCAGCCGTGCCGCGGGAGGTGGCATGCAGCGGCCGGCCGGTGGCCACATCCACCACCGGCACCCCGAGGTCGCGGCCATCCTGAGCCCCATGGGCAAGGATCACCGCGTCGTAGGCCGAGCGAAGGGCCGCCAATGACAGAGCCGGTGGGGGGGGGCCCTCGGGAACCGGCGCCCCGCAGGGAGCCGGCGGACCGGCCCCGACCGTCACATTACCAAACCACCGGAGCTGCGGCTGCCCGGTTGCCGATTCCGCGGCCTCCCGCTGCTCGGCCAGCAGCGCATCAAACCGGTTGATGCACTGCTTCATGGCCTGGTGGTCCGGGGCCACCCCGTGCCGGGCCAAGCCAAAGGGCACTGGCAGACTCTCCAGGATGTCAATGCGCAAGGCGGCACTTGTGGCAGAGCCATCGGCCTCGGGAGCCGCCTGGCTCGCGGCACCGGCCCGCCGCAGCAGCCGGTCCGCCGTGTAGAAGCCCGCAGGACCACTGCCAACAATGGCCACCCGCGGCCCGCCGATCGGCCCCGAAGAGAAGTGGGCCGATGCCAGGAGGGGGAGGCGGATCCCGCGCAGGGTGGACGTTTGGACTAGCCGCGAGCCGAGACGGGCGACGGGGAGCATTTCTTTCTCGGCGGGGGGAGGGGGAAAGAAAATAAGGGAGAAAGGGGGAGAGGTAGGGGGATCTTGTGGGGGGGGGGGGGGGTCTCCTTCTTCACAGACAAATCCCAGGGGAGAATGGCGGTCCAAGGGAAAGAGACGGGGCACAACAGAAAGGGCGCTGGGAGGAGAGGGTGGGAAAAGGGCTGTCTGTGGACACGGCGCCGGGCTGACCCGGACGGCGGTGGCCTTTGCACCACTGAAAACTCCAGTCACGTGCTAGCCCGATCCACGGCAGGCCCGATCGGCGTGGACTAGTACGTTCACTTGGGCCTCCGGCACACGCGCACACACCAGCCCCCGGCCATTGCTCGTGGTGTGTTGCTTACTTGATCGAGAAAGACCCGCACTCACCGTCGGGCTCATGTGGGGGTACGCGCTGGCGTCTGCCCCCCCCCCCCCCCCAGACACACAGGCACACACAGGCATTGAAAACGCATCCAGATGTTCCCCGCCTTCGCCCGGTGAGGCGGCTGGCGAGCGGGGGACCGGCCGAAGGCGACCCCGGGTGTCGTCAGATGCACGAGACCATGCGCGCGGACCGACTATCACACAATCATCACCACACACGAGTGTGAGCGTATATTCATGAGCAGGGTGGGCGGGCGACAAAAAAGCCATCCGGCGAGGGAGGAGCATGTAGGAGGGGGCAATGTTTCTACTGTGTAACATAATCGCATACATACGCGCATACATGCTTACACTCACACATAAATACACTTCGATGTATGTGCATACATCGGTGAGGGTGTGGTGCGAATGTGAATGCGCGCCGAGGACAGGCATGGACGCGCGGACACACACACACACACACGCACACACACCCATCGAGGAGGGGAGATGAGGGGGGAAAGAAGGCAAGGACAGAGACCGGAGATTCACACACGGGCAGGGAAGGGGATATGGGGAAATGGGCGAAGGTAGGAGACGGCAGACAGCCCCATCAGACGATGACAGGGGAGAGACAGGGGAGGGGGGGGGAGGTGGAGAGGGAGAGAGGAGGAGGAGGGGCGCGAGCGTGCACACGGGCGCGCTTCGTCCCCCCCCCCCCCCCCCCGCCACTGGGGACAACGCGCGCGTGCGCGCAGGGGGGAGGGGGGACCATCGCAGCACGTGGGGCTCTCAAGTGGCGCGCGGCTCACACTGGAGCGAGCGGCTGTAGAGCTCGTTCTCATCGCGCGACGGGTCGATGCCATAGATGAATTGGCGGATCTGCTCCGAATCGGCGGTCGGCCGGAAGGAGAAGTCCTGAGACTGGAACACCCCAAGACGAAGAATCTGCTGGGCCAGCATGCGCATCTTGCCGATGTTAATCAGGCTCTTGATGCGCTTGGGATTACCATCATTGATGAAGGTCAGATCCCGAAGGAAGAGCCCCATAAATGGAACGCAGGGCTCCGGATTGGCCTCCAGCTCCTCCAGGATCAGGCGGTAGGTCCGGAAGTTTTGCATGGCGGACATCAGCTTCTCCGAGCGCTCCAAATCCGCCATCGACCGAGCCGACACCAAGGCCCAGGTCTTGTGCAGACGCCGGACCGAGGCGATGTTCAGCCCGGAAATGATGGCCATGGCCGAGTTGTAGTTCCGCACACGGAGCAACTCCTTCAGCACCTTGATGAAGGCTTCCAGCAGCTCGGCGCGCTTCTTGAGCACCGGCTGCTCGACCAGGCTCTCCACCACGAAGAAGGAGATGTCATTGAACCACTCGATCATGGTGTTGAGATTCTCATTGGTCGGACCGACACCGTCCCACAGGCGCGTGACAAACTCGATCAGCGAAATGCTGGCAAAGCGCTGGTAATCGATGAGCGTCAGCTGCCGGGCGAACTCTCGCGGGGCCAGATGCCGGAGGCTGAGCTTCTGCTGCTGCTGCGAGGCGGCCGCCGCGGCCCGGGACCGGGCACGCTCCTGGCGCTCGCGCCGCAAAGCCTCCCGCTCGGCTGCCTGCGACAGATCCTGGCTCTCGATCAGCTTGCGCAGGCGCATGCCCAGGGAGGCCATCTGCCCCTCGGACTGCTGGGTCAGGTCCAGGAAGTCACTGAGGACCGCCCGAGTGGCGGGATCCGAGAAGTCCGACCAGTAGTAGGTGATCCAGCGCTTGATGACCGACAGCGTGCGCACGCGGATGACCGGGGTCCACTGCTGGCAGTAGGCCAGCTGCTCGGGCGTCGCGCGCGGCGGCGGCTGCACATTGAACCGGCAGTACAGGCGCTCCATCAACTGGGTGGAGGTCATCACATGGCGATGCGTCAGCAGCAGGGTGTCAATGTAATTGGTGTCCGGGTGGTTTTCATCCGCCAGCCGGGCAATCATCATGTCCATGGAGCAGGCCGTGATGTTGTACTCATCGACGATGCCATTCTCATCCTGGTGGTACTGGATGACCATGTCTTCGCTGGCCTTGGCCAGGCGAGCCTCGGCCTCGGCCGCCGTCGGCGTGGTCGACCCGCCGGCCGCCGGCGTGGCCGACGAATGCGTCGAAATGACCGACGCCCGGACTCCACCCGAAGCGCGGAGGGCAAACTGACTGAGGTCCTCGGCTTGGCCCAGAGTCGGGCCACCCTCGAGCACCGGGGCAAAGAGGTAGGTGCACCGGCGCCGCAGGCCGATGGCCGTGACCTGCTTGATTTCGGCCGCGGTGGTGAAGGGCGGCAGCGAGGGGTCGTCGAGGGTCGCCTCGTCCAGGATCCCGGGCGCAGGGATGCCGGCACCAGGCCCCGAGGCACCGGGAGTGGAGGCCGAGAGCCCGTCACCTGGCCCGGCAGGGCCAGACCCGGTGACCGGCCCGGCGGGGGCATCTGCACCGGGGGTGGCAGTGCCAGCGGCTCCGGACCCGGTGCCAGCCAGATGCTCCGGCAGGCCGGGCGGCTTGGAATCCGGCCCGGACAGGTCGTGCAGGTTGAAGTGCGACGGGAAGGCCGTCAACGGGGTCATCAAGGTGCTGGTCGAGTGCTCGAGGCCCTTCTCAAAGAGCTGGACCTCCTGGTCGAAGTCATCGCCGGAGGGCGATCCGCCGTGGCTCGGGCCACCGGCGTCACTGCGACCGATCGGGGATGGACGCGACGTCGAGCGCGAATGCGCCCCAAGCCCGCCCGCTCCGCCGGTCTGAATGGGAGGCGGCTTGGGCTTGCTCCGGCGGATGGATCCGCGTGGCTGGAGGGCGGCCCCATCGCCCATGGCCGCGGAGGATCGATCGACAATGGACCCTGTGGGGGCCGCCGCACTGCGCGACAGGTCCCCCATGGCCGAACTCATGGCCGAGGCGGCCGACAGCAATCCACCAGCCACCGGGGCCGGGGCGCCAGAAGACTCGGCACCATCGCCCTCGGCCGCCGGAGCGGACAGATCCCCAAGTGAGATGTTGAAGCCGGACCCGATGAAGTAGTCCCGCATGGCGTCCATCACGCGCAGCCACTGGTCGCGGCTGGCACCGGATTCCGCCTGCAGCACCAGCACCCGCGGAACATCCGAGGTCCCGGGGGATGCCGGCGCCGCGCCGGGGCCGGAATCGTCGGCTCCACCGGGGCCATCCCCCCCCTCGACCGGGCGCTCGGCCAGCGCACCAGGGCGCACCCCGATCCGGAGCTGGGCCTCGCCCAAGGCCTCCACCACACACCGCTCCAGGTCCAACTCCATGAGCGACGAGATGGACTGCTGGTTGCAGAAGGCATGCAGGTAGAAGTCATCGCACACGAACCACAGCCGCCGGCTGGGGCCGGAGCGCATGGACGCATCGGAGGAGCCGGCCTCGGAGCTGGGCGTCTCGTAGAACCCGAGAATCGAATCGACCGACGGCGCGGGCGAGATCCCGGGCTCGGTCTCATCACGCAGCTGCACCGACGACTCGCCGGACACCAGGGTCAGCCAGCCCTCGATGAAGTACTGCCGATCGGGATCGGTGTCAGAGTCGGAGTCCGAGTCATCCTGAGCACCGGGTCCCGTGGCGGCCACCAGCGGGGCCGCCGGTGGCGACGCGCCCCCGAGCAGGCTCGGCGAGGAGGCGGAGAAGGTCCGCACCGACCCACGCTGGCGCAGGGAGACCGATCCGTGACCCGACGTGCCGGGGTTCGGCGGCGAGAAGAGCCCCGCCGCAAAGGAGGGCATGATGTCCCCATTGCCGGACTCGGCCGCGGCCAGGGCATTCGACACCTGGGCCATTTGCATGGCGGTCAGGGCCACGGAGGCCCGGCGCCGGCCGTACGTGCCACGCATGTGCATCGCGGCGTTGGACATCCCGGGCGAGGCGCCACTGCCTCCGGCCCGGGGGGAGACCGTCGAATCGTCGGACTTCAGCGGCACGGTGTTCAGCTCATCCTCATCGTCATCCTCATCATCGGGAGCAGGAGCGCGGCCGGTGGCCGCTGGCCGGGGCGTGACCGCCTCGCCATCCATCGGCCCGGCAAACAGATGGGCCATGGAGGCAGGCGGCGAGCCACTGTCGGGCGAACTGTCGGCCACTGAGGCCGCCGAGCCGGAAGTTGCCGGCGTCCCCCCCCCGGCCGAAGCCTTCTCGATGGAAGCGTCGGAGGAGGAGGCGGAGGAGGAGGCGGAGGAGGAGGCGGAGACCGAAGCGGCTTCCGAGGCGGCTGCCGCCTCGGCCGTGGCCGCCTTCGACAGGGACTTCGAAGAGCCGCCCTTGCGGCCGATGGTCCGGCGGGCGATGCGCGAGAAGGACGACGACCGGTCGCCGAGCCCCGGCGACCCGACAGACCCGCCGGAGGGCGGAGGTGACGCCGACCCGAGGAGCGGCGAGCCGGCATCGCTCCCGGTGCCGAGGGACGTGGCGGAACCGGTGCCAGGCGCCGTGCCGGACCCGGCCCCCGGGTCGGACCCCAGATCGATGGCACTCTTGGAGGAAGAGCTGAAGGAGAAGAGACTGAAGATGTCAGCGCGCTTCTTGTTGGACCCGGAACCGGTGCCAGTCGGCCCGGTGGCCGCCGAGATGGACCCGCCCGATGCCGAGGACACCCAGTCAAAGCCCGAGAAGGATGCCCCGCTGGAGGGGCCCAGCGAGGAGGGAGCACCCCCGGAGCCGGGGCCGGTGGTGAAGCCGCTGGCGCGTTGCTCCTGCATGACCTGATCACGCTGGATGCGCATGGAATTGGTCAGCTGCCGGAAGGTCCGAGAGATGCGATTCGATGAACCGGACCCCGGGGAGGGGGTCGACGACTCGGGGTCGCCCTCGTTGGCGCGCGTCGGCAGGGTGAGCCACGCCGAATGCATGGTCTGCGAGTTGATCGGATTGCGCTCCTTGATGATCTTGGCTTGAGCATAGAGGGCCTCGCGCGAGTAGAAGGGCAGGCTCAGCTGGCTGGAGTTGGCGGTGCTGCTGGCGGAGAAGCGCCGCCCGGCGGCATCCTGCGCCGCACGAAGCAGGGCCTGCTTCTCCTCCTCGCAGGGGGTGACAAACTCCGCCGGCAGGAGGGCGTCCATGACCAGGGAGGTGGTCAAGCGAACGGAGAAGTTCTTGTGCCCGAAGGTCGGGAACTCCGGATCATTCAAGAGTGGCAGTGTGCGGACGGCTGGGTCCTGGAAATCGTCGAGAGGCAGCATGGAGGCTGGAGGGGGGGGGGGAGGGGAGGGGGGGGGCGAAGATGGATTGCTGGTCAGGAAGCCGACGGGAAGAAAGAGCGAGGAGAGTGCGGCGAAGCGGGGGCATATCAGAGACGGAGGGGGATGGAGAGGGAAGGCGCACGATCGTCATCGTCACGATCGGAAGAGAATGAGCTCGGAGTGCTCTCTGTGGCCGGGAGGAGGAGAAAGATCCGGCATACCCGGGGGAGGGAGGAGGAGGGAAGGACGGTGAGCAACAAGGTGCTGGCAGGAAGCGAGGCACGTGGGAGCAAGAAGCCCTGTCTGGGCACCGGACGACAGGCATCGCGGCGCGCGTACCGGAGATGGTGCCATTCCGCAACTTGACGTAGTGGAGGGCCGTCACCCGGGAGAAGGCGCTACTCCACTGGGAGTACTCCTGGCGCGAGGCGACCACGAAGTACAAGCACCGACCATCGCGATTGTACGCGCAAATGGTGAAGCGCGTCTGGCGCAGGGCCTCCTCATTGGGACGCTCCGGCGTGGCCGACGGGACAGCGACCACCTGCGGGAGGCTGGAGTCACCGCTGGCCGCTGCCAGGCGGTGCTGGGCAGCGGCCGCCGCCGCGGCTGCCAGAATGGCGCGCGAAGGCTGCGGCGGGCCGGAGGACACGCCAGCCGGACCGCCGGCGCGGTCGCGCGTGCCAGCCCGCGCGGCGGCCGCCGATCGAGCGCTCGGAGTGGACACCCGGAAGCCCAGCAGGGAGATGGCTCCGCATGCGGTGCCACCCTCATGCGTGAAGCTGAAGAGGATGTCCTCCCAGAGGACGAAGTAGCGCAGGCACCAGCGAGTGTAGGTGTCACCCGGGAAGGCCAGCCACCCGGCCATGGAGATGCCGGTCAGCTGACGGACACACACGTCCAGCACCGGGAGATTGGTCAGCTGGAGATCGTCATTCTGCGTGTGTTTTCCCGGCCGAAGGGGCGAGGGGGGAAGCGGAAGGCGAATGGAGGGAGTTAGCAAAGGCAGGGGCAATCGCAGGGCGGGGGGAGGGGGGAGGGGGAGAATGGCCGGACAGCGGATGGCAGGCGGTCACAGGGGGGGGGGCTTGCGCGCGTACGTTGGCCGTGCTACGAAGGCGCTTCCGCGGGAACCACTTGTTCGAGCCGACACGCGACACGAGCGAATCCTCGGCCAGCTGATCCTGCTCCATGAGCGCCTCGCAATCTTGGAGGTGCTTGCGCCAGTGCTCTCGCCGGCAGTGGGGGTTCTCACAGTAGGAGTTCTGCGCCCCACATGGACGGCACTGGAAGATGAAGGAGGCCGGCACCGAGGAACAGGCGTCACAGAAAACCGGCGCCAGGGGAATCATCTCTTCCTGCAGGGAATCCACGTCGGAGGAGGAGGTCGCCGACAGGGCGGGCGACGTGTCCCCCGACAGGGGCGCGGGGCCGGCCATAGTTGCTAGAGCGGGATGCGATGAAGGGAGGGAGATGGGGGGGG